ATGGAGGAACACTCCGAAAAATGTGCAGTACAGAGGGATCTGGATGTTCTTGTGTGTGAAACAGAAAAAGTTAATATGCAAATGCAGCAAATAGTTAAGAAGGCAAATTGAACTTGGCCTTTATTACCAGGGGGTTGGAGTTTAAAAATACAGAAGTCTTGTTACAATTGTACAGGGTGTTGGAGAGCCTGAAAATGGAGCACTGTGTAAATTTTTGGTTTAATTATTTAAAAAAGGACATATTGACATTGGAAGCAGTTCAAAAAATATTCACTAGGATTATTCATGGGATGAATGGATTGACTTAACAGACACAGCTAAACAGGTCTACCATCATTCATTAGAGTTTAGAAGAATGGGGGATGATCTTATTGAAACAGACAAGTTTCTGAGAAGGGCTTAACAGGGTAGATGTTGAGGCATTGTTTCCATTAGTGGGGGAGTCTCAAACCACAGGATGTAGTTACAGATAATTATGGGACTCTCGTTTAAAAATGAGATGCAAACGAGTTTCCTCTCCCAGAAAGTAGTGAATATCTGGAATTCTCTACCCCAGAGAGTTGTGGAGGTTAAACCACTGAAAATAAAGAGATGAATGGGCTATGCTGAATTGACATGAAAGAGGTTTTAAGGCTGGGAGCAGATCAACCAGGATCTTGTTGAATGGCTGTGCAGGCTTAAAGGGCTGAATGGCTTACTCCTGTCTCTATGTTCTTATGTTCTTACAGCTACTCGATCATTGGATCAAGGGTCACAAACACCTGTCAGCTCTGTTAAGTTATCATCAATCTTATAGTCCAAAGTGGATCATAGGACTTCCAAGTCCCAGTAGATCTCTTTAACGATTGTGTTACCACAGTAGTTGTGTGGACTGATCACCTACCTGAGGCGGCCGTCTGGAATGCTCATATGACTTGATTGTGATGTCTGCCATCTATTTCTACATCTTTAAGATCATCCTCAGCAGTACCTCTATATGAATACGATGTTCGTTCAGCATGCTTTATTTTTTACAAAGTAATACTCCTGAGATCACCTCCGTAGGCTCGAGACCAAGGAGATATTTTCAACTTATCCTTAGAAACTTTGTACCACTTTCAAATTTGACTCCTCGTGCATCGTTAAGAAATTAAGTGAAAGAGTGGCACAGTAAAAGAAATTCAAGACAAGGTGAGAATTTTTCGACATATTTGTGACAAAAGGGATTCAATGAGTTGGAACTCAATATCACAGCTACCTCCCTCCACAAAGCATGCAATGTGCAACCTTGGCTCCTATCTTCAGCCAGTCTATCCCTCTGCTCCATATCTTTTACATAAATATGCAGGATCAGCTCCCAGTATTTTCTGCTCTTTTCATTGATTGAGCTACCATCCTTCTCAACAATCTATCCTCCTACTGTTAATTTTTTTTTGGGGGGTGCATTTGAGCAGGTTTAATATCAGTGTTTCTGATTGGAGTTTTTTTTTTCACTCTTCCCCACTCTTACACTCTTCCCTTTGGCCCTCAATAAATGCCCAAGGACTTCCATCTGATGTACCATCTCTCAATAGATTCTCTTTCCACCCTTCAATATTAGTATTTTTCTAGCCTTCTTTCTTCAGAGCTCAGTTGGAGCTTAGCTTCAGTCCCTGCACAATTTCTTTTTAGCTTCTCCTTGTGCATTTAGGATTTTTTATAGAATCCCTACACTGTGGAAAAAGGCCCTTTGGCCCAACAAGTCTACACCAACCCTCTGACATCTGGCCAGACCCATCCCCCTATAATCCACCTAATCTAAACATCCCTGGAAACTGTGGGCAATTTAGCATGGCCAATCCACCTAGCCTGCACATCTTTGGACTGTGGGAGGAAACCGGAGCGCCCGGAGGAAACCAATGCAGACACGGGGAGAATGTGCAAACTCCGCATAGACAGTCGCCCGAGGTTGGAATTGAACCCGGGTCCCTGGTGCTGTGATTGTTTTGCACAGATTTCATGGATCACCCAATTTAATTTAGCTGACTTCTCGAAAGGATCTTGTGGTGTGGTAGTAGCATCTCTATCACTAGGTCAGACAGCCTAGGTTTAAATCCCACCTACCCCAGACATGTAGTGTAACATGAGATAACAAGGTGTAGAGCTGGATGAACACAGCAGGCCAAGCAGCATCAGAGGAGCAGGAAGGCTGATGTTTCGGAAGAAGGGTCTAGGCCCGAAACGTCAGCCTTCCTGCTCCT